TCAGCATCATGCAGCCAACCTCCGTTTCGTTGGTTACACCCTTAACACGCCCCATCATAGAACCACCCTATTTACTAAGAGTTTCTCTTTTGTTGCACCCAATCGCTATAATATGCTCCCTGTCAGCTTCAAAGTTTTATCTGTTCCACTTTTTAGATCAAAAGTAAAAAAATTTGTTTTTGAAAATATGTCATAATACCTTATATTATTTAGTTTTTAACTTATGTAATGGTGTAACTGTTAACTGTGAATATATATGATTTTTTCTTTAAATTAAAAAAATGCCTATTTTTGGCATAATAGATTTTTCATTATTGTTACTCAACAATGTTTATGTATCCCAGATTTTGTATTATAATTTTATTTGGCCCTGGTTGGTATGAAAAACAGCTTTTAGCTGACACCCGCCAGGTTAAATAAAGGCTATTATTATTATTATTATTATTATTATTATTATTATTATATTATTGTAATAAAATAATGTTATTTGAAGCACTTGGGGTGATGTGAGGACCACTATACGTTTTTTTCGAGTCAGTTCAGAACTTGTTATAATTTCATACGTTTCTCTTTTGACTAATTTCAGTTGTATCCAGGGCGGCACAACGAAAAGGTAACACCCCTATTTGTGACTCGCCTGGTACAATTTTGATTTCTAGGGGACGTCTTTCTATCTTACTAACACTTTAGATTATTGAATGAAAACTCTCTTTTTTAATTTTTAGATTCTGAATTAATTTTTTAGTAACTTTTGTATAATGAAGTTTATACTTATCTTCAATCATTGAGAAGCTAATTGATTTTATAATAAAATTCGACTATCTTAACTTTACTTAAAATTTGTCTTCTATTTCAAATTGTTAAGTTACCTAAATAGTTGTAATAAATACTGAACAATGACTTATTCAATTCAAGAAAGGGTATAAATAACAAAACTGTATTACCATAACAGGAGCATTGCAAGAGCTACTGCCCGGTTGTTTAACGCACTACGTCCAGACAAAAATATTAACTATAAATATGTAGCTAAGTTGTTAAGATTTGAAGAAACTGGATTTGTGGTCAACTTCGTAATCGCCATAGAGAAAATCCAGTTGGAAATGAAAGTGTAATGCAATATCGTATTATGTATATCCCACTAGAAATTAAAGTTGACGTGTCCTAGCGTATATATATATATATACGTATATATACAGGGTGACTTTGAAGTTGAGTCATTAATTTTCAGATAATGATTGTAGAAGGAAGATAAACCAAAATATGAGTGTAAAAATAAAAAAAAAATGTTACCCTGTTTTATAAAGTATCCTCTCGACAAGTATTTCAGTGCGGACCTGTATTTGATCGTGCGGTCTTGGAGCACCGGCATGCCCTCCCCTGTGAGGTCTTAAGTCACCTGATTCACGAGCCCTTTGTACTACAATAACAAAGGCACGAGGGGTTGGTTGCACTCGATTGGGAAACCGATCCGCATAAATCCGTGATGCCGCGTAAATAAGAATCATGTCCACAAGTTCAGCATTTTCGTAAACATGTGCCATTTTTGATTTCGTTTGAGCCACGCAACAGACACCACTATTCACTCACGCGTTACCGACTGACACTGACTGTATACAGCTGAATAAAATAATTGTAAAAACATCGTTCCAAATTCTTTCGCTTTTTTGTTTCCGATGCGATGAACCGATAAGGCGGATTATATCCGTTGTTGCCAAAGACGAGCACATAATATTATTATTGAGACAGGGCGGTACTCAAACTTCCAAAGGGCTATAACTTTGTTACTTTAATTTTACCAGAAAAATGGTAAAGGAAAAAAACATTTCTTTTGATCAGATCTACTCACTGTTAAAATAAATGACTCAACTTCGAAGTCACCCTGTATATATATATATATATATATATATATATACCTGGAGGGTCACAAATAGGGGTGCGACTTTTTCGTTGAGCCACCCTATATAAGTAACGCATGAAGAGAGTGCTCATAAGCCAACGCTTTTCCACAAAGATCGCAGTTTTATTGTCGATTGTTTTTTATTCGATTTTTGAACTGCTTGAACATCGTATTAGTTTACTAACTGCCTTACTGTTTTCTGAAGTTGCTTGAAGATGGAGAAGCACATAAACTTGCAGGGGCCACCAAAGAAATTATTTGTCACCTCATTTGGTTTTCAGATATATGATGGTATCTATTGAAAATATAAATTATTCGTCAAACGTCTTGGATGGAGAAATTAACCGCAATATCATTAACATCACAAGACAATATCTTTACGAAAGATCGTTAATTGTGAAACGACCTGGAATAGAATAATTAATTGTATAAATTATATAGTCTCTATCGATATCAATCTTTTCGAAGAAAAATACTAGGTACATCAGATATGCTTTGTGTATCCATTCCAAAATGAGCGTGTGGAGTTTAATAATAATAATCTGTCTTTATTGCATCACTAACGTCACCACATAACATTAAAAGGTATGGTGCAAATGGCGGAGTCTTGCCATTGGCCAATCTACTCAATCAATAGTTGATTGGGTAGATTTTATTACTAATGAAGTATGTATAGTACTACAAACTGTAAAAATGTCTGTTATATATATACGTGATGAAGAATTAAATGCTTCTAAATTTTAATGTTACCGTGTACATATATATTCAACAAAGATTAATACTTACAATAATAGCCTTTAATTAACTAGTGCCAAACAAACATAAAATACAAAGTTTTGGGAAACAAATATAAACAATGTGAATATATAATAATAATAAATCTATTAAGAATTACTCAAAACTAACACCAAGATGCTAAAATGCATGTAGAGATTGAGAATAAGTGTACAGTTGTGTTAAGAAAAGGAAAGTATAATAAAAATAGGCAAAATTTTAATTCATACCCAAAAAATCAGATTTAGTCACAGTTAACAGATAGGTACACCATTACACAAGTTAAAAACTATAAAAAATTATGCCATTTTCAAAAACAAAGTTTTTTCTTTTGACTTAAAATGTGGCGCTAATAAAAATTCAAAGCTCGTAAAGAGCTTATTAGAGGGATAGGGTGCAACAAAAGAGAAACTCTTAGTAAATAGGGTGGTTCTATTATAGGGCGAATCAAGGATGTAACCAACTAAACGGAGGTTTGCCGCATGATGCTGACTTCTCAAAGACAATTTATTATTTGAATATGTAGGATGTAGGGTATTTGGTTAAAAAAATGCTATGAACCAAGCATGGCAGGAGAGATGGGGATGCAACTGGCCATGGTGCTTAGAGTAGAAGGCTTATCCCAGATATTAAAACTTGGAGTGAAAGGGAGCGGTGCGGATAGATTACTATACCGCACAATTCCTCACAGGACACCGTTGATTTGACAACAGTTACTTGAGTGACAGAGGTCAAAGGACTAAGATTGGTTCTTCTATCTCCAAACCATTTCTGTATGTTTTGGAGTTCCTCAGGGTAGTGTCTTGGGCCTTTATTTTTTATAATATAGTTGAATGATATGGAACTTGTTCAGAAAAGTATCTCCATAAATCTATTTGCCGATGACATACTTGTGTACTCAGTCTGCAAAAACCTGAATGAGGCTATCGATATTGTGAACCGTGACCTTGCAAATATTGATACATATCCCAAAATGAACAAATTGTAGTCGAACACTCAAAAATCAAAAGCAGTAGTAAAATCAAGCAGAAGTAAAAACAAGAATAAAATAAAATCTGATATCCCATTTAGAATTGAAAATACAGTTCTTGATATAGTTGATACAATGAAATACGTTGGATTTATGTTGGATAAAAACCTGAGCTTTAACAGCCATAGTGACTACATTATTAAGAAAATTTCAGAGAAACTTTATTTTTTGTCAAGGGTTTCTAAACAGCTATCAATGTTTGCAAGAATTACGGTTTACACTACAATAATAAAACCTGATTTTCAGTACTGTTCATCTTTATTATATTTCTTTAGCAAGTACAAAATAGGCACCTTACAAAAATTTCAATTGCGGATAATTTTACAGTGCTCTAGATCATTGATTCCCAAAGTGGTCTATATCGACCCCTAGGGGTCTACGATAACCTGCAAGGGGTCTACGTCAGCGAAAAAAAATTTGGGGGTCTATGAAATGAATATGGGGGTCCACGATAATAGATCTCAACACATACACTGATAGTACCTATTTACTTACATCATACTATCTTATAATATCAAAACATATACATTATTTATAAAAGTACCTATGAACTAAAAAATTTATTATATATGTTTATAAAATTGTGTAAGTTGTAGGATGTTGGTATTCGCTTTGTGGTAGCAATACATTTTGAACTTGTAAAAACCTGAGAGTCGCAATCTCAGAGCTTTGCTACCTTGCACTGACTTGTTCAATTCGTCACTCTATAAATACGAATGTGGGACAAATACGTTTATTCGTTTCCTGAATTTTGAAAAGGAAAGTGCTAAGAAAATATTTAAAAAAATATATTAGTATATCACACAAATTATAGTGAGTCAGTGTTATTTTGTTTGAGAGTGCTGGGGAAAAGTAAGTACATTATTTTTTATTAAATTTTAGTTTTGTACTCGTAGTTAGCAAAGATAGATAAATTACGCCAATCATGACTTTAGTTATTAATAGTTAAATATTCAATCATACAAAATTACACTAGTAGTCCTCAATAGTTTCTTTTTGAAAGTTTTAGCAATCGGTAATATAATTACAGTGCAATCCTCGTAATTCGAGCTAATTGTTGCAAGATGTTCGAATTATGGAATGTTTTCTGAAAAATCAAAAAATATTTTTAATATACAGCTGCTGGATTTTCTGTCTTATTTAAATAATTTAATTTTGCCCACAGATGCCATGTCCGAATCTAAAAAGAAATGTAGACAGTACAGTGTTGATTATTTGAAATTTGGCTTCATTCCATCATTGCCGGACAAACAATTGCCTATGTGCCTTTTATGCAACAAAGTTTTGGGCAATGACGCTATGAAACCATCTAAACTGCAAGATCATCTGAGAAGATGCCACCCTGATAAAACAGAGAAACATTTGAAATACTTTCAAACACTCAAAGATAAATTTCAGAAGAGATCTACACTGGACAGAATGTTCGCTTCGACGTCACAAAGAAATGATGATGGTTTGCGGGCGTCTTACAATATCTCGTTACTTATAGCAAAATCCGGAAAACCGCATACTATCGGAGCGAAGTTAATTTTGCTAGCCGTTGAAGAGGTTTTAAAAACTGTTTTACACAAACCTGCATCTGATATCATTAAAAGAATTCCCTTAAGCAACAATACTGTTGAAAGACGTATTGATGAAATGAGTTCTGATATTGAAAGCTTCTTATGTAATTATTTGCAAACGACCCATTTCTCTATACAACTGGACGAGTCAACTTTACCTGATAATGATTATTGGCATATGTTCGTTTTATTATGAATCAAGAAATCTACGAATCGTCGCAAGAACTTTGATAACCGACACTAAAGGTGAATCAATATTTCATGTTTTGAAGGATTACTTCATAGAAAAAGCAATTCCTTTATCAAATATAATATCAGTAGCTACAGATGGAGCACCTGCCATGGTTGAACGTTATCGTGGATTTATAAGCTATTTAAAACAAAATGTGTCAGGGGTGTTAGCAATACATTGCGTCATCCATCGACAATATTTAGTTGCTAAAAATTTGAGTGTTAGATTGCATGAATCACTTCGTTTAGTCATTGATGCAGTAAACCGAATCCGAAGCAACGCGTTGAATACGCGCAGTTGTGTGAAGAAAATGACTTTCATCAATTACTCCTTCACACTGAAGTACGAAGGGCTTATGTTTGACAAGATTTTTTGCAGTTTTTGAGACTACTTTAGAATTTCTGGATGCTAAAGATAAAATTTTAAAAGAAAATTTAATGAAGAGGAAAACAGACATCGCCTATTTAACAGATTTGTTTACAAAATTTAATATGGTTAATTTGCAATTACAAGGCGACAGTTTAAATCTGATTAAAACAAAGTCCATCTTATCAGCGTTTCTTGCCAGAGTTAAACTAATGAAGCAAAATATTGGACGAGTTTTCTCAGTTCCCCAATTTGTCACAGACAAGCTACTAGGAAGACGACGTATCCACTTACGTTCAACATTTAAATGCCCTCTATTCAGATTTTGAATCTACGTTTGAGGATATTTTGACTATGGTAATACCACCGTGGATAATTAATCCATATGGTGACATAGAAGAAACGAATGTCATAATACAAGAGGACCTGACTGAACTAAGTACAAACGAAGAACTTAAGGTTCAGTTTAAAAACGGATATCAGCAATTCTGGCTGCAAAACAACATACCCGTTACTTATCCCGTATAATGGAATATAGCGAGGAAATTTTTAATTTCCTTGCCATCGTCATACCTAGTGGAAAGGGAAATTAACATGTGTTTTTACTTTAAGTTTTTAACACTAAACTTCACTACAGTTAGAAATTTACAGGAAATCAATATCAGGTAAGTAGGGGGTCTACCCAACACGGAAAAAGTTTGGGGAACTCTGCCCTAGATACACAAGAATTGAATATATGCTGGATACTCTACAGTGGTTATGGGTGAATCAAAATCTTTAGTTAACAACAATGCTGTTTATTTATAAAATTGTGAAGGGAACATTACCTAATTATTTAGGTGCTCATCTACGTCCAAATAATGAGATCCGTTCTTATAACACTAGGACGTGTACTCATTTCCATGTAAATAAAACAAATATGAAGACTGCAATGAAAACAATAATGTACAAAGGTCTATGTGAATACAATAAGTTGCCCCAGCAAATAGAAAGCGCCAACTCAGTCGGGTATTTCAAGAAAGCACTTAACAAACACATAAGATCTGACAGAATTTGATAAATTTATTATATTTGAATATATATGTATGCACTTGTGAAATGCTGTAATGCTACCAGTTGTTGTTGTTGTTGAAATTAGGATTTTTTTTTTCTAAATAAAGGACTACATATTAACAATTACCTGAAGAGGGTAGAAAAGAGAGAGTTCGCCAATTGCGAATATAACAATGTGGAATGTGGGTTGACTATCAGACACGCTTGGCGAGAGGCTCACTACTGACAATTTTGCCATGCATGTACGAGAGTGAAAATGGGTTGGTATTCACCCACCAGTGAGGCAGATGATGCTGAGTATGGGAAAACAAAAATAGACCAATAGTAGGTTTCTTTTTTGCTTGGTTGTACATGTACATAGGTTTAATAGTGCGTATATGTACGATATAGAATAGATGACTGTACCTTTGGTATGAGAACGTTACCCACCATGAAGAAATGTGGCAAGCATTACAATGCTTTGAAGTGTGGCAAACGACTGAGGGAATTTAGTGAGTATACCTTTTCTGGAAAATCTCGTACTGTTTACCTGTCTGAGAATGGTTGTAACAACTTTCCCCTGTCAATAAAAAAACTTGGATTATTTCTGTTAGGGTCAATTTCACCAACATTAATATTTGACGGTCACTTGGATACAATAGGAAAATTTGACGGAAGCTGTCAAACCTCTCTGAATATCAGTGATTTCTATTGAAATGTTGAATACAGTCGTGGAAAAACGGTTGGATTATAAATAATGGTACATTATAGATGTAATATTATGTCTTTGTGCTTTAGAATTAGGATAACTTTCAAAGAATTTAAAATTTGTATCATTTCACAAAAGACAGTCAGTTATTTAAATGGGCCAATGAAAATGAGAGAAATAATAGGTCGATTTTTGTTATTTTACAAAAAAAAGGATGTGAAACGTATTCCAACTGGTTCATCATCTTTTGTTACATCAAAAACGATTTTTGCCAATTTACGGTCTAAAAATCCACACCAAATGTAATCAAACAGCACATTATGCATTTCTGGGTCCTAAAACGACGATATTTGTAAACTATTATTGATCATCAAGATATTATAAGTCAGAATCAAAAATACCCATTTATGAAAATATATCTCCAAACATTGCTATATTTTCTTGTTATTTCTATTATTATAACACGTCTGGGGTATCAATTATTGCTTTTAAAGTAATCTGCAGTGTTGCCGAACCGGCAAAAAAAACGGAATCGATAAATAGTATTGTTGAATTCGGTATAAGGAAAATCCCACCCCAAGATCAGTAGATCAAGGACCTTTGAGTCATGAAAAATGTCTGTTATTGTATTGGGCGCGCACACAACATGTTTTTTGAGGGCGTAGTTCTATATTACAAATTCTCGAATGTGCATCCTGGTCGCTCCTTCAAGGTACTTGGCAAACATTCTGGAAGCTCCTTTTTCGATTCTTGCTTATACATTTACGGGATATTAATGCACAGTCTGGCAACCATGTCGCACCCTCACAAAATGGCCGCTGACAACCACACAAGTCACTGTGTTGTCATTGAATATCATGGAATTAAACTTTCTTCAGAGTATAAGTTTTGTAACTGGGACCAACGGTTGACAGATCCCACACATGTGTCACTCGATGAGTCTTGAAATGCAATAGTCAGCTGTATTCAAATAATGTCTAATATAAATATAACCTAGTATGTGTACTCGTGAAAAAAGAAAAATATGGCAAATTTGTAGTTTTTTGCAGGTTTTAGGTTTGCTGGTAGCTTTAAGGCATATATTTGGGAATTTCTTAATCGCTGTGAATATAGTGTGGATGTTTGTTCAGTTCCTGACCAATGAAAAATATTCAACTTTATGGATGTATGGATATCGAAAATCCTGAATGGTTTTGTGGGGATATCAATCGACGGTGATATAATGGTACTGATGAACGGCAAGTAAATGAATGAATGTTTGGAAACGAGCAATATCTATGAAATTTTTGGTAGAGCCTGTCATCAAGTAGGTGGCTAATAGCTATCTTCAAGAGGTTTATAGGAAAAAACACACGGTAGGTGATGTTGAATGAGTAAAATCGCATATCAATTGAAGAAAATAATATAAACATATATATATATATATATACAGGGTGACTTCGAAGTTGAGTCATTTATTTTAACAGTGAGTAGATCTGATCAAAAGAAATGTTTTTTCCTTTACCATTTTTCTGGTAAAATTAAAGTAACAAAGTTATAGCCCTTTGGAAGTTTGAGTACCGCCCTGTCTCAATAATAATATTATGCGCTCGTGTTTGGCGACAACGGATATAATTCGCCTTATCGGTTCATCGCATCGGAAACAAAAAAGCGAAAGAATTTGGAACGATGTTTTTACAATTATTTCGTTCAGTTGTATACAGTCAGTGTCAGTCGGTAATGGATAGTGGTGTCTGTTGCGTGGCTCAAACGAAATAAAAAATGGCACATGTTTATGCGGATCGGTTTCCCAATCGAGTGCAACCAACCCCTCGTGCCTTTGTTAATGTAGTACAACGGGTTCGTGAATCATTTGACTTAAGACCTCACATATGGACGGCATGCCGGTGCTCCAAGGCCTCACGATCAAATACAGATCCGCACTGAAATACTTGTCGGGAGGATACTTTATAAAACAAGGTAAATTTTTTTTTTATTTTTTTTTTATTTTTACACACATATTTTGGTTTAAATTTTGGCTAAATTATATGTAATTTCTTAATATTCAATAAGCTGGTGATGTTTCAATAACAAGCTTTCATCTCATACTTAGTATCTTGTTTTCAACATTTCATAGCTATTGGTTGCTAAAATTTGTTGATTGGAACTTGAAGCTCATTCGCTGTATTTGACGGACTGTTACCCTATAGGTAGAGAATAACGGACTGTTGATTTGACAATCCTGGTGAAATCCACCCTCAAACAATTATTTGATCAGGGGGCTTAAAACTATAACATCCTCATTTTCTTTATCAGAACATCCTGTATAATTCAAAACTTCTGCCACCAGCTCTAAAATTTGAGTATAACGTTTTTAAGTAACTAAGCACGTTTGTTGTAAGATCCAGAATAATGAATGTGGAATGCTATCTCGAAGAGTCAGAAATTCCTACGGCCTAACTCAAGGAGATTTCATGGAATCCATTCGTTCCCAGAGAGACACGCACTTTGCGTTGGAATTAAAGAATCCAATCGTGGATCAAATACTATTTATACGTTAAGACCTTTTCGCTGTTCAGTTCATACATTGCATTTCTCATCAGTATATCTAAATCTACTATTCCACTCGACCATTAGCGAAAATTGCTATCCTGCGTGGAATTTCTAGGAATCAGATTTCTTAGTGAGCCTGGAATTTGATTTAGCTAAATGCGTAGAGCTGCATCGGAATACAGCATGAGATATTTCTTTCCAGTTAGGATATGCATCACCTGTCAATTGAAGGTAAATGACAGCTGTCTTTTGGATGATTTCCTGAAATCTTATTGATTATGTTGCTTCATAACATTATTTGGAATGAAAAAGTGACGGATGCCCTTAAATTGATTTTTCTATAGGTAGTTGATGTTTTATAATACGAATCCATACCATATTACGTACATCATGGGAATCGAAATGGGACTGTTTACGTATGTTCAGTTCATAAAAGTTAATTGAATGCTTGGCTAATGATATTAGAGTTAGATAGATTGATAGATAGATGGTTTATTGTCTTGAGATCATAGATATGATATGAGACTCATCAGATATATCTCTATAAGTAGGTATACTAACTGACATATAAATCCGAACACCCAGTTTAAATGGTTTTATTTTAATAAAATTTTGTATAAGTACTTAATGAAGCATAATAAGTAAATGATAAAAATTTCAAAATGATTGCACTGCTTTAAAGCCCTTTGACCTTTAATAATGTGTGGATGCACCCTGATGTGCTACGCATTCTCCAACGCGCCTAGGCATGCTTCTGATCAGGAGGTCAATATCCTCCTGCGGTATCTCATTCCAGGCAACCACCAACTCCTCTCGAAGTGCTTCTAGAGTCTGAGGAGGACGTTTCAAATTGAGCAATTTTCCTACCCATCATATCCCATACTTGCTCAATTGGCGATAAGTCGGGAGATCTTGGTGGCCATGGTAACAATGTGACCTCATTATGTTGAAAGAAGACTATTGTGACTCTTGCAACATGTGGTCGGGCATTATCTTGTTGGAAAGTTGGATCTGCCAGGGTGTCAAGATAGGGTAAAAGATGGGGTTCTAGAACTTCGTGGATATAACGCGGCGCGTTCATGTTATCTCCGATGAAGATTAAAGGTGACCTGGAACCATAAGCTATAGCACCCCAATCTATAACTCCAACAGTGTGATGAACATGTCTTTCAACAAAAAACTGTGGATTCCTCCTTCCACCACGTCGCCTTCTAACCCCGGGACGAGCATCGTGCATACCTAAACAAAATCGAGAGTCGTCACTAAAGACAATACTGTTCCATTCCTGATCCCAGAGTGACCGTTGTCTGCACCACTCAAGGCGATTACGTCGGTGTTCTCGAGTTAAAGGGAGGACCCAGTGTGGCCGGTATGAAAACAAGCCAAAACTTCTCATTCGTCGGTAAACACTTCGCGTGCCAATAGGTCTTCCGTGTTCTGCAAACCATTCATTTGCAATGAACCTGGTAGTGGAGAAACGGTCCCTTAAGGCTAATAATCTTAGGCGGCGATCTTCACGGTCTGTTGTTCTACGGCGGCGTCCAGTGCCCCTTGCTCTTTGCGTACGGCCTTCTCGAAGCCATGCCTGACAACACCTAACCACAGTGTCTACACTTCTTTGCACTCTAACTGCAATTGCCCGAAAAGAAAGTCCAGTTTCCCGAAGTCTCACTATACGGCCCCTATCAAACTCACTAAGTTGACGAAATCGTACAGGTCTCCGTACTCTAGGCAT